ACGTCTCCTCGCGGCCGCTACACGCTCCTCTTCCTCCTCGGTGCCTGTCCTTTCCGTCTCCGGCGTGTCATCGTCCCTCCGCCCTTCATCTCCTCCTATTTCCTCATACTCTTCTGTACTGCTCCCACCATCCGTGTCCTCGCCCCTTCCCTCCGCTTCTCCTCTTCGTATCGCATGGCCGACCCCTACAGACGGCATGGCAGGTGGTTTCCTGCTTCCATTCCCTCCCCGCCGTAATGCCCGTGCCCGTGCTTCCACCGCACCCAGCAAGTTTGTGAATCGCTCATCGTAATTCACGCGGCTTAAAGCAGCGACCAGCTTGGCTGGGGAGAAGGTTGCCAGAAAGTCTTCCTTCAAGCGTCGCAAAAACTCGTCCACGTACGTCAAATTTTGAAAGACATTTTTGTTGTACACCAGCACGAACACCACCCCCGGCTGATCATTGCTCAGCGACCACTTGCACACGTGCTTATCCAACGTAGCCTGTGCCGCGCCAGCCCTTTCTTCGAGGAGTACGGTGCGGATGAGATGATGGACGATGGAGGAGCCCAGGAAACCCTCTTGAGGCCCCTTGATGGGAACCACGCAACGAGACCAGAGGACAACGCCATTCTTTTTGAAAACCCACGCCTGATCTAACATGGCGGAGACGCGGATAATGTGGTGCCAATCCTGTGACGTATGAGGAAGGTGGTGCTTTGAGTGGGAGTGACAGATCGAGTGTCGCGTAATAGCGGGACGTCATTCGAGGAGTCAAGCGGCTCGCTTAGGAACAAGTTGGGGTGGGAAACTGAGGTCAATTTAAGTGATGTGATATTTGAAGAAATAGATCGCCCACCTCTACCGCTCATAAATAGTGCGCACGCTTGCATAGGACATTTCGACATTGATGTGCCTTGCTGGTGGCATTTGAGTAATCGGGCGGTGGTGGTCTTCCTCACGGTTTGCCAGGACTGTAGCAGGAACGTATGGGCCATTTCTACACTGGCAGCGACATAAAAGCGCAGTTTACTTGCTTGATCGGTAAATGAGCTGGTAACTTAATTTTGGCTTTCCGGGACCAAGTTTTTGAGGAAGCGAATATTTACTTGTGTATTAAATTCTTTACCCGTTAGCTAGCCCTCGATATTTATGAGCTTCTTTCCTTTGAATGACATCCGCGCGAAGGCTATCACAATTTATCCTTAAGCCTTACATAAGACCTCCATCTTAGATTCGCGTCATTGTTAATGGCGAGCTATAGCGATGTTTCTTCCACGCACGCTGTCACTCAATGCATCCTGTGTCGCGACTCCTACATTTCGCTCTCAGTCACGAGTTCTCACAGATTTCAGCTGCATGCTGTCTGTCGACCTCCAGTTTGCGTTTCCATAGCCTCTAATTTAATTGCCTTGTTCCTTCATGTGTGCACGCAAGGGCGTGACAAGCCTCTCACCAACATGCCTAAGGGTGCAAGCCGGTACCTCTAGACGTCTAATACGTTCTAAACAAAGCTTTCCCCTCTTCTCCCTACCCGCGCCGACGCCTTTCTCGAGCCATCTCTCTTCCTGAGGCATTCTATTTGCCACTCTCACCAGGAACATTACAGTCCATCCTCCTCGAATGTGGGAGGCACGATGGCCAGGTCCTCCTCCTCCTCGTCCCCCCCTCCAGCAGGATGATGGTGGTGATGGTGGTGATGATAGTGACGGTGTAGCAAGTCCAAACCCCCCACTTCCGCCTCCACCTTCGCCTCCGCTTCCTCGTCCTCATCCTGCTCCTGCTGTTCATCGTCGTGGTGGTGGTGATGTATGATGTTTCGGGCCCCGCCGGACCCTGCGCTCTCCTGCTCATGGTCTGCGACTGGCAAGCCGTCTAGATCCACCAGGCCACAAGCCTCATTCACCACTGCTTCCTCACGTCGACGTTCCATCGTCAACCGTTGCTGCTGGAGGCGAAGGTGATGTTGCATAAGCGCCTGGTGCTCGGTCAGACGCTCTAGGCAAATGACGTTCTTCTTAGCCGCTTCCCAGGCACGCATCGGGCCCGCCTGGCCGACTGTCGGGGACTTGACCGACGACGCAGAGGGTGGAGGGCCACAAGGGGAGGGAAGGGTGGTGGTCGCGACAGGGACGTAGGCCACGCCTTCATGGTACAAGATGGGAGGCACGTCGGTCCCGTCTGCCCACTGCCGTTCTTCTCCTCTGTGCTGGGCAAGCGCACTTTGCGCCGTGAGGAAATGCTGTACGCCCCCCACGGTCAGAGGCACGGCCAGGGAGAGAGCCGTCGACGACAGTGCCGTGGCCGCACACGGGCTCTCCCCGGGTAAGCTCTCTTCCGCAGTATCCAGTGCGGGGACATGCTCCTCTCTGCTTGGAGGACTGGCCCTTTTTGGCGCTGTCGAAGCGACAGGAGGG